AACACAAGCCCAGTTACAAGATAAGTTAAACATAAGAATGGGCTAATAAGAACTCTTATCAGCCGAACATCACTCTAACATTCTAACAAAAACAAAATGTAGTTCCTCTTGTTGGAGTAGGTATAGCCATATAGTTATTGTGTATTCAGTTTTAATACTGATTCTTTCTTTTCTTCTCTAACCTTTAAGCAGGGATGGTAATAGTACCCACACAGGCTGGAAGCCTTATGGTACCCCTCTTGTTGCACCTATCTCACGTGATGATGTTATCACAAAAGGTGATATACAAACAATAGTTCACACCATGCTCTCTCCCATGCTAAGAATTGAGAGTCTACAGTCTTCAGATCATCCTGATACAAGTATCTCAGCAGCAGCATCACATGCATCTCGTGAAGTTAGTTCTGGTGAAGCATGCACAGATTCCACTGTATCAGACTCCATAGACAAGGATGAGAGTAGTTCTAAGATTGTTGTGACATCAAAACTTCCATTGCAGCTAGTTGATGAAAATAATGCATGTATTGATCTGTCAACAGGAGAAGAAAAAACAATCAGACTTTCCTCATCTTCAACATCAATTTTGGTTTTTATTGATTGGTCACAGAAGCATTTGGAGAAGTATGATACCCATTATTTGGAGAATTTACCAGAAGTTTTTAAGTATGGGCCAGCAACTAAGAAAGCCCGTACTGAACCTCTTTCCTTGTACACCTGCTTGGAAGCTTTTTTGCGTGAAGAACCTTTGGTGCCTGAAGATATGTGGTTAGTCTCTCTCGTTCTTTCCATGTACACAAATATTTTCTGCTGTGCCATTCTTATGTAATGGTTTCTTTATGGTTATGTAGTCTGTATGGCACGAGAATGAGCTTCTTGAGCATTGACTAGAGAAGTTATAATGGCAGGAGTTGTCTATAATGAGTCTGTATGTGAAGGAGCTGAATTACATTATAGCTGAATCCTGTCATTATAGCCTACTCCCTAGGCTTGATTATTGGCCAGAGAATTGGCTGCTGATCTTGTAACCTATCTGAATAAGATGTTCACTCTGGATGTCAAAGATCTAACTCTAATGAGATTTTATGCACTTCATGTTCAATCATTGAAAGCAATTAAATACATCTGTTATTGTTCTAAAGGTACTGTCCACAATGCAAAGAGCGGCGCCAAGCAAGCAAGAAGTTGGATCTATGGAGACTTCCTGAAGTATTAGTCATCCATTTAAAGCGATTCTCCTACAGTAGGTCAATGAAGCATAAGCTGGAGACCTTTGTAAACTTCCCCATTCATGACCTAGACTTGACAAATTATGTAGCCAACAAGAACAGCTCGAAGCGCCAACTTTATGAGCTCTATGCTTTGAGTAACCACTATGGTGGCATGGGAAGCGGGCACTACACAGCACATATCAAGGTGAGTGGAAAATCTAAATACGCTTATACTTTTTTCAAGGGTCAAACTTATGTTTCGGATTCTCTCTCTCTCTCTCTCTCTCTCTCTTTCTGCAGGAGAAAAAAGATATTTAGATGTATAGCTGTAATGTATCCCTATTGATCTGGATCATTCTATTGATTGTGCACACATGGGAGGCTGGAATAGTATTGGCCTTCTAAAGGATGGATGCTTTTGAGGCTCATAATTGATCAATCGTTTCAAGCAGGGCAGCATGTGTAATTTGCACATATATGCAACTCTTGGGGTCATAACCCATCCACGGAGCTGATTGGAACGCTAACCTAGAAATCTGCACTGCTGCAGTTTTGGTTTGTAGCTTATCAAGAAATGAGTCATTGAATGCATAGTCAGTTTTAGTCCTTCGTAGTTTCGTTATGTTAAAAGGTGGTCCAAGTGTGAGTTCTAACTTCTAAGTAGAGGTGGAGAGAACATCTTATTATAGTAATTATATGGGAAGTTTTCTTGTTTTAACATTTGTTCCTAACATTGTGATTTTGTCAACAATTTGCAGCTTCTAGATGAGAATAGATGGTATAACTTTGACGACAGCCATATTTCGCCCATAAGTGAGGAGGATGTTAAGTCAGCTGCAGCGTATGTACTTTTCTATAGAAGGGTGAAAACTGAAGATGCCACTGTAAGCAATGGAGCACAATCCTGTGCAGGACCCAACAACATATCATCTCAGAAGTAGACTATGGAAAGGGAGGTAAAACTTGAATACTTTAGCATTAGATGTATATAATTTATTTATTGAAGGGGAAAAGGTATTGTCCAATAGCAAGTGAAAACGTTTGCCATTCTCCCATGTATTACTTTCTGTTGTTTGAAGCGCCTTGTATTACTTTTAACAAGTGAAAAATCTTCTGGGTGAAATGAACCTTCATTCTGCACCAGATATTCTTTTTTTTTGTTGTTAATATTTAGTCCAAGGATAAATTGTAATGGGGATTTATTATATGGACCTAAAGATCAGGATAGAGTAAGATTATGAGATTACCTGCTATTCCATGATAATGATACCCTGTGACTCTGTAATGGGGATTGGGGATTTCTTTGGTAAGCAACGAATTCAATCAAAGCACTAAAACAGGCTGGATGCAACGGAATTTTCGCAATCTGATTTTAGCCAGATATACTTTCGACCAAGCAACGAAGGACATCGTATCCCAGTTGGCGCAGCTTTGGCTTCTGGAATCAGCTCATTTCGGTTTGTCGTTGTTAGTGTACTCATCTTGAATGATGATGGAATCTTCACAAATACAAGTGTTTTTGTTTCTCTGGTTTTTGAAAATTACTCATCAGTAAAAAAAAAGAGTTGTGTTATTGGTTGGTTGGTTGTATTTTTTTAGAGAAACTACAAATCTTATTTAGTTTGATTCACTAAAATAACCTTATGTCCCTATATGCTATATCAAGAGTTGTTTTTCAATTGACATTTCATGCCCAAGAAGAGGAAAACAGACAGCTTTTATAGATAGATGTAAAAGAAGATACAAATAACTCAAATGCTCTGAAAGGAGCCTTATAGTGGGCCCACCATTTTACGGCTCAGATTGTAAATCAATGTTTTTGAACCGGACTGCCGGACCGTTTGGCTCAGAAACCCTTCAAGCAACCGGTTCTGTTTCACCCCTAACCTGTTCCTGGGTCAAAAACCGCTGACCCGGACAGTCAAACTGTCGATTCGTTTGACTCAGACAGCGGTTCTGACCCAAGAACTCTCTTCTTTGTCAGAAAACATACGAACTCAGATCTGAGTTCGTGCCTCAGTTGTCTCAGATCTAGAAGAAGAAGATCTGAGAACTCAGATCTCAGATCTGTGTATGTTGCCGCTGCCTCACCGTCACCATTATCGTCGCTAGTGAGCATCGAACCACCCTCCTCTTCCTTCTTCTTCCCTCCTTCCCTCCTCCTTCCTTCCTTCCTTTCCTTTCTCTTCTTTTCTTTTTTCTTTTCTCCTTTCTTTCTTTTTTTTTTTCTTTTTTTCTCTCAGCCGACAACATCTCTCCTTTCTCAAATCTCATAACTCATATAAAATAGTTGCCCTAATATGCAAACAGTCTGAACTGTTTGACCTGGAAATCGGTAGCTAGAACGGTTCCGTTTTCAGGTCGGTTTTTAAATCCTTGTTGTAAAGAACAACAATTCTTGTTCTTTGATCTTTGCACCAGAATTACCATCTACCCAATTTTATGAAAGTTGTTTGTAATCGTGGATGTTTTTGACCATTTGTTCGTTTCTTCTTTTTCCCATCTTGAATTAGTTGGCTCTCACCAATCCTTTAAATACATCAATAATACTAAATCAAAGGTTTCTTTTTATGAATAATTATGTCTAAGAAATTGGGGCATATAACTATATAAGTAGGATTGTCAATGGACCGGGTTTGGGTTGGACCCCATTCAAATCAAAATCAATTTGAATAGGTTGGATGGACCAGTAAGTCTAGATTTAATGGTTCAAAGTATTTATTAAATTGGACCTGATCCAACTGTAATGGATTTATATTGGATTGGGTCGGATTGACCAATATCTGGTCCATTAACAAAGATAAGAGTATGGGTGTCAATGGACCAGGTTTGGGTTGGACCCATGTAAATTAAAACCAATTTGAACAAATAGGACAGTCCAGACATTGAATTGGACCAGTGCAGAATTGTCCAAAGTATTCATCAGATTGGAATGGACCTGGCCCATTTTTAATGGACTCATATTGGTCGGGTTGGGTTGGACTATTATCCGGTCCATTGGCAGCCCTAGATGTAAATATTAGGCAGTGACTTTTTTTTTTATAAGAAGCAAGAAATCAATAACAGAAAGAAGAAGAGTCTACACACAGCGGGGGGTAGCACATCCCCAAATGTCAGCACAAGAAATACATTTTAAAGAGAGGAAAAGAAAGCAAGAGAAGAAATGTTGGAATGAACACAATTTGCAAGCCAATCAGCAACCCAATTCCCTTCCTGATAAGTGTGCTCGTATTCAATAATGCCGTCCATCCTCTCGGTCAAAGTCCTACAACCTTCAATGATCCTTCTCAGTCTCCATGGAGGGTCCACTTGGTTCTTCAAACTGTTATTAACTAACTTGGAAGCACCCTCCATGATGGTGGATTTTCTGTTGAAATCCAGAATCTGGCAAAAGTGGTTTCTGGCCACACAAGCAATGGTGCATCGATTGTTAAGGCACGAGCATCAAAGTTTATTTTGATAGTATCCTCTTTTGGATTTCTCCACTTGACAGGGATGATTTGTTTACTAGGTCCAATCATTGAGTCCCATTCAAAACTTGAAATTGATTCCATGAAGGAATTTTTTGCTCTCTCAATGATTATGGGAGGGAGGATTGCTTTATTATTGAAAGTCTTGTTATTTCTGTTCTTCCAAATATGCCATAGTAAAACAACAATTTTTCCTTTACCAATGGACTCTTATGACAATCAGCATTATCATTCAAAGAAGTCTACCAATCAATCATCGAATTGTTATTTTCCGAAGGAGCTGGAATAGTATCTCTTGTGATGAGCCATATTTGTCTAGTAAAATGGCATTTAATGAAAATATGGACAGAATCTTCTTCATCCCCACAGAACCCACATGAGCCATCAATATCAAATCCTCTTTTTCTCAGCACTAACCTGGAGGGAAGTTTGTTGTTGAGCAAAAGGTATAAAAAGACTTTAATCTTGGGGGCAATTTTCAGATTCCACACCTTATTGATTTCCTTTGTTACCCTATGAGGGTTACCATGCATCCAACAGGCCTCATTGTTTGCCGATTTGATTGAGAAGTTTCCCTTTGGATTAAGTCTCTAAACTAGCCTATCCTCATGATCACTAGAAGGTATGAAAATAGTTCTAATTTTTTTCCCACACACTTAAAGGAACCAGGTTCTTAATCAATTCCTCCTTCCAGGTTCTGGTTTCGTGATTGATGACATCACTAACACAAAGGTCTAAATTATTTATTTCTGCTTTATTAACCAAGTTGATAAGGAGAACCTCATTTGACCACTTATCAAACCAAAATTTTGTGTCATTGCCTTTGCCAATAATCATTCCTATACCTCATTTAATCAAATCATGAGAGTTAAGGGTACCTTTCCAAGCCCACGAATGATTCTTTTTTGGTTTAGTTTCCCAAAAATTTTCTCTTTGGAGGTATTTGTTTTTTACAACTTGAACCCATAAGTTATCTTTTTCATGTAACACTTTCCAGCCTAATTTTGCAAGGCAAGCCTTATTCGTCCAGCCTAGATTCTTCAAGCCAAGACCACTCCAATGCTTAGAAGTGCAAACCCGGTTCCAATTGATGAGATGGAGGGGTTTCCTCTCTTTACTATTTGTCCATAAGAAATCCCTTTGCTTTTTATCGAGATCCTGGATAACACTTTTCAGAACTTTAAAAGACCTCATAATATATTGAGGAATCGTGTTAGTAGAGGCCTTAATGAGAGTAATCCTACCAGCAAGAGAGAGACAGTTCCTCTTCCAAACTGCCAGTTTACTCTCCTTCTTCTCACCCAGAAATTTGAAGGTGTCCTTACTAAATTTGTTATTAAAAACAGGAGCACCCAAATATTTTTCATTTTTTGTCTATAAGGGAACCTTGAGGATTCTAGCCATGATTTTCTTGTGTTTTGGGTGGATGTTCTTTGAGAAGAGAACAGTTAACTTGGAAAAATTAGGGGCTTGGCTCGATGCTTGGCAAAATTGGCCAAAATATTTTTAATTGTACAACAAACTTGGATGTCAGCTTTAGCAAATATAATGCAATCATATGCAAATTGCAAGATAGGAATGGAAGGCCCTTGTCTAGACACCTAACAGCCAATAGGACTCCTAGGGGTAGATGCTTCCCTCAAGAGGTTAAGAGAGAGAGCCTCTGCACAAAGAACAACGACATATGGGGATAGAGGGTCTCCTTGCCTGATCCCCCTGGAAGGTATGATATCCCGAGCAGGAATACCATTTATCAAAATCTTGTAGGTCACCGTCCTAATACACTCCATGACCTATTTAACCCAAGTATTGTGAAACCCAATCTTCTAAGAACCTTTTCTATGAAGTCCCAATCAAGTCTATCATATGCTTTCTCCATATCAATCTTACAAGCCATAATTCCTTTCTTGCCCTTCTTCTTTCTCATGGTATGCATGATTTCATGGGCAATAAGAACATTATTCGTTATTTGTCTTGATGGAACGAAAGCACTCTGAATAGGGGAGACAATATCATTAAGGAATGGCTTAATTCTATTGACCAAGATTTTTGAGACAATTTTATAAACGACATTGCACAAGCTAATAAGCCTATAATTATTAGCCATTTTTAGATTCAGAATTTTTTGGATAAGAGTGATAATGGTTTTGTTGATGATTTTATTCATCTTTCCCGAGTGGAAGAAAGCTTCCACCATACTACAAATGGAATTACCAACTATACTCCACTATTTTTTAAAGAATAGAGCATTAAGTCCATTAGGGCCCGAAGCCTTGAGGTCCTTCATAGAAAAATTGTGTCTTTAATTTCCTCATCAATCACTTCCCTAATAATGGACAATTTTTTTTCTCTGGATATAGAAGGACTAATGACCTCAATAAACTCCTTAGCATTGACTGGGTCTTCGGCTTTAAATCTATTTTCAAAGTTCTCGCTTAAGAATTCAGCAATGTTATTTTGGTCACAAATCCAATCTCCCTCATTATTTCTGATCCTTGTAATCCTATTCCTGTTCTTCCTTATGATGGTCGTAGTATGGAAGAAACTATTATTTTTGTCTCTAAGTTTGATCCAATTAATTCTGGCTTTTTGGGCCTAATATGTTTCCTCTTTAACTAGGATAGAGTTGAGGTGTTTTTGGAGCACAAATTCTAAGTTTAAAAGGGGAGCATTTTGATTATCATTCAAAAGATTAGCCTGAACTTCCCCTAATTGTTTCATGATTTTAGCTTTTAATTGGAAAATATTACTAAATTTTTCCTTGTTCCAAAATCTTAAGTTTTTAACAAGCATATTTCTCTTCTTAATGAATTGGGTGGCTTTAAATGCATTCATCAATAGTCCAAGATATAATTATACAGTTTTTTTTGTTATTTAATAATTAAAAAATATATAGTTAATCTAAAAATATATTTGATCCATGAGAATGTAGAAGATCCATATGCAACTATTATGAAACCGGCTTCAGTGCTCACAAGACCATGCTCACACCGTTTGCACAGTCCCTTGCAGCCTTATATTGGGAATATCTCCCCATGAAAAAAATACAAGTATGAAGACATTCCCAATGCATGGCTTTAAGACTGTACAAACGGTGTGACTTGTGAGCACTGAAGCCGATCTCAACTATTACATGCCAACTACTAAACTAATTATTCTATATTTTATTATTTTTTGCTTTCGGATATTACTAAAAGAACAAGTCAGCTTAATCTTGATTCTCGAATTCTTAATATGCTAGCTAATGACTATATAACTTCCTAAAAATTACTAATGTAAATTAAGTTGATTTTGTAATAATTTTTTTATTTATATAAATAATAAATATATTGTTTTCTATTATAAATTAATATATAATCTTAATATAAAATACACCACATCCATTAGATATGGGTAGATCTAAATTTGGTTCACTTATTTTTCAATTTGAATCAAAATTTCATTTGAATTTAAATTGAATATTGAATAGCATTAATAAATTAAGCTCAAACCCACAAAACTATTATAACTTTTCTTATTAATAAAATGTACAAAAAATAAATTTGATATTGTATATAATGAATGCAAAACATTCAAACCAATTTTACTATACAATCATATATATTCAAATTGAACCGGATCAGATTGTATCGGCTTATATTGGTTTTTTTTTCTTTTCTTTTTTTTAACAGGCCACAAATCGAATTCGGATCACACTTGTTCGGATGTAAATCCGGATAAATGGGTACCCTTTGCAGCCCTAAGTAAAGGGGTCGAATTCGAAGGTGACCTTTACGCAATTCCTACTTCCTATGGCGGGGACAGGGAGTAGTTCTTAAGCGTCTTCGTCCCTGGAAACTTGCAGCAGAGACTTGATTCTTCATTGGGGTTCGTAGCTTTCTTCCCCAGAAACTCTTTTCATGAATGAATATTTGTTTGTTTATTTTCAGAATCTTGAAACAAGTGGTGGATTACGATGTTTGTTTAAAAGAAAACACAGTGTAAAAGCGCTGCTTCTTGTTGTTGCTATTGTTGTTGGCTTGTTGTTTCTGCTGCTGCTTTATTGGATTTCTTTGTCTATTGACTTATTTTTAATGATCTCAGCTAAAATTGAGGTTTAAGAGGATAGGCTAGTAATGGGTTCGGAAAGCGAAATTATTGAAGAAAGATTGAAATCCTTGCTTGCTCATCTCCGAACAGAAGCGGGTATCCTTGAAAGAATCGTCTACAAGAACAAGAACCAGCACCGACGGTGCCTCTATTTCCAATACCTTTTGAAGGTTGCCGTTTTTCTTGTTCCTCTGGCTTTAGCTGTCATTTTCTCTTCCTTTTCTTTCTCTTGTTTTGGGTTTAACATCTTTTGAGGAATTTCTTATTCTGTTAGGTGAGGAGGGATGTGAGGCTTTTGCTGTCAGCTTCACCGGAGGATATTCTGAATCTCCATTTTCAGCTTACCAATGGAAATAAACCTGCAGAGAATGCGCGTCTTCTAGAGATGTGAGCTTTCAGTCAGTCCTGCATGTTCTTGTATCATTATTCACCTTCTTTTTGGTAGTTCAAGGATTTCTATTAATTGGTTTCAGAATAAGAATAACTACAACCATGCCTATCCTTTCACAATGTTTCTTGTACAAAATCTGGGGGTCGGTACTAGGCCATATGGTTTATGCTTCTGAAGTCCAACTTGGGCTAAGCAATCAACACATCTATTGCCTCGTCTCTGTAAATGGCTAAGACTTCATTGAGTTCATTCATCACATTAAAATAACCTGTCTGTTTTTGCAGTCATTGTTAATGGTTTATGCCTTTTCGTGATGTGTTTAGTTGTATATGTTGCTTTGTAGTCTAAAGAATCAAAGGAATAATAGCGGAAAACATAATTTTCATGAGAGACTTTTGGGAATTGCACGCTTACTATCGCAGGTATGATCTTTTTTCTCTGTAAATTGGATTTGGGTTTCCGTGAACTTGCAATTATTGTATTCAATGTTTACTGACTTAAAGTTAACTTAGTGCATTATTCGTATTAATCAGATCTACTTCATTTTCTCACGTGTTCTTTTGGTTTTACAACATCTAGAACTAAAGCAATTGGGCCAGAGTTTTTCTGAGATGCAAAACACCCGCGAATCATAACTTTTGCGAAACTTATGCATGGTGGCATGCATAAAGTCTCTCCCCAGTCATCTTTCTGTTCTTCTGGTTTCAAAAGAAGTGCTTCTTCCAGGATGCACAATGTCCTTCTATGCCTTTTATCTCTCCAGTCATGATACAAACAAAGGAAATATTATCAAGCCATTAGATTGAATTCATGGTCATCCATATCAAAATAACTTAGATATTAACAACAATTGAGGTCAAAATTATGACTGGCATTTTTATTTGATGAGTAAAAGATTTGATTCATTAGGGACTAGTAAGTTTCACGTTACTGAATACAGCACGTCACCAGGCTTGCAAGCTGGCCCTTGGCCCATGCAGAAACTCATCTTGAGGTGCCAGAAAAGAACGCTATTATGCAATGTTGGTCCCATCTATCTGGGTCTTGGGGAGGGGTGAACTTGATACAGAGCTAACCTTTGGCATTTTTTCGCACAAAGTAGTTGCTCTCAGACTCAAACCCACATTCTCATACTTGTTAGCTCAGTTGGGTCAAATGGGTCATCCCTCAAAGCTCATTCTGATGGACTGTAACTGTCAAAGATGCACTAAGACTTCGATGATGAATTCTTAGGGAGGGCCAAGAATAACAGACAGTTAACCTACCTAGTAGGGGTGTTCACGGTTCGGTTAACTGAACCATGGGCAATGTTTGCAAATCGAACTAGTACCACCGGTTTTTCCATTTCTCCAAAACGAAACTGAACTGGTACCACCGGTTTTGGTTTTTGACCGGTTTGGTTCTTTGGTTTTTTGTTTTTTTATATTTATAATATATATTATATAAATATATGTATAATATTGTATTATAAATAATAAATGATATAATATATTATAAATATTAAAAAAATATATAATATATAATATATTTATAAATAGATTACTATAAATATAATATATGTATATATTTATATATATAATGAAATAATGAATATATATTTATATATAATATATAGAAAATATGTGACATATATTAAAAACATATATACCGGTCGGTTTGGTTAACCACCGTTGTTTTTGTAGGTTGACCGAAAATCGAACTGGTCCTTTGGTTTTTCAAAAATACCAAACCGAAACTGAACCGATCGGTTCGGTTAACCGCATTCTCCAGTTTGGTTTTCTCGGTTCAGTTCGGTTTTTCAGTTTTTCATGGATATCCCTACTGCCTAGAAGCAAAGCTAAAGAACCATCTAGCTGCTTACTATGTTAGTTGCCTTGCACCTATAGTGTCTAGTGTGCATATAATGCCTTAATGACAAGGCCTGTGTGGCTAGAAATATAGCTTATGGTAATGAAAAAAGACATATATGCATGGATGATTAGACTATAATTGATATGATTTTCATGATATGGACATCCAATAGATGACTGGAAACCTGAATGGTCTCCTATTGATAATAAAGCGGAATGTCATTGGATGTGGAAAAATTAATGCTGTTATTGGAAAAGAAAATTATTCTATTCTAACATTGCTTCTCTATTGCAGATGGTTGAGCCCATGTTGAAGACAGCAATGTATCCTTTTATTGCTGATTAGATGGTTTACTGCAGCAGCTATTAGTGGCTATTCACCTTTCTTGTTTAGATGATATTGAATTATATTTGGAGGTTCAAGCTGATAGCGTTTCTTCTTCTGAATGTACCTACTTGAACACCAAAAAGTTCCAAGTTTGTACATGGTTTATATATTCTTGATCCCTGGATTCTCTGAAATGTATGCATGAATTCATATTTATCATAGGCTCCAAATCTGTCCTTTTATATGTAATGGAACTTGTTATTGTCATTGTAATGAAAAAAAAAATTACAAATACATGCATATACCAAATACTTCACTTGGGAATGAGTTCTTGAAAATGTTTAAGGTTTTCCTTAACTATATTATAGTGAAATATCTTCTTTGCTAGCTAGATCTTTTTTCATGGGATTTTCTCTTACAATTTTGTCTCTTCTTGCACGCCTCAGAGTTTTGGTTCAACAGGTATGTATCATTCACATTAAGTAATCAGAATGTCAGTATTTTTATTGTCTTTAAAATATTAGGGTGCAGATTGGGTTGGTAGGATGAGGTAGGGATTGGTTAAGCAACTAACTCAAACTCAACAAAACCTTATCCCAATGGCGGTGCGGGCAGTTGGTTACATAAATCCTTTTTTGTCATTCCACTCCATCAAAGGTCACATTTTATCAAACTATGAGCTCCCAAATCATTTCTACTACCTCAATCCATGTCCTTATTGGCCTTCCCTTGGCTATTCTACAACCATCAACTTTCACTAGATCACTTCTTAATTGTGCTGCCAGTGGTCTTCCATTAACATGCCAAAACCATTAGTTTACTTTCACTCATTTTATCATCTATAGGGGCTATTTCTATATACCAGTAAATGTTCTCATGTCCCATCCTACAAAGACAGAGGGAACAAGGTTTGGATCTCTTTCTCCACTTAGAAGGAAAAATAAATCATATTAAATTAAAACCCTAAGATCATCAGAAACTCCTTTAAACTAACCAACTTAATCTAATTAAACTGTGAAATAGAATCCCCCTTAAACCGACCTAAGAAAGGCCATTACCCAATGTTGGCCCCAGCCATCTGGGGTCTTGGGAGGGATAGACTGTGTACAATCCTAACCTTTGGCATTTTTTTTTTTTTTTACACAGTAGCTACCCTCCTATTCAAACCCGCATTCTCAAATATGCCAACCTGATATTTTACCATCACACCAAGTAATGGCCTCTCCCTTAAACCAACCAACTTTAATCTAGTTAAAACTGTGAAAGAATAGACAAGGGCTGACTGTGGCTTATCTAGCATTGACTTCTTTTTTTGTTCTATTATAATTGACAATGTCCCTTGTTTATAATGATCACTTTGAACTTCTGTTCCATTCTTCAACAGATGTTACTTGATGTTGTTTCAGTGTTCAACATGGTCTCAGATCTCTCTCAGAAAAAACACTCAGTAAAACTCACTCAAGATGGAATTGAGGTATATTTGAGCTCACTTATGTATGGCAAAACTTCCTGTACTTTGCAACCAGTTCGGACATGTTTGCCTTTTGATTTTTGACAGGTTCTCCTATTTGTTTATACTGGAGTAGGTGTTTAGGGAATATTATCCCTCAAATAAGGAAGTTATCAAACTGGAGTGCATTTGGGAGAGAGACAAATTTTTATTACTTGAGAAAACCAACAAAAGTGAGAACAAAAACCAGAATGGGGATCTTGGAGAAGGAGAGGTTTCTCTGGAATCATCAATGGTTCATTACCAAAGTATTGAACCTTTGCTTGAAGGTAAGAGTTTCCGTATTAGGAAGTAGTTGAACTAAATTATGAGCTTTACCTTCAAAGATGTCTGTGGTACCGTACTGGTGAGGGCACTTCATATATGAGATTTTCTAATAGAGTGAAACAATTTTTATTTCCGTGTTATTTTTTATTGTTCTGGATATAGAATCGTAGGCCTTATTTTTAGGGCTGTAATCGGTTTGGATTCAGTAAAATTTGAATCCAATTCGATTATTGAAAACTTACAGTTGAATCTGATCCGAAATCCAATTGGATTTGAAGACCTTTAATTCTAGTTCAAATCCTAACAGACTCGGATTTAATCTGACTCCATTTTAATTTTTTAAAATATAAAAAATTAAAAAGTTAGTTACTTTTCAACTTTTATATATAATAAATTTATGTAAATATAACATACTGAATTTATTATATATATAAATCATATATAATATAATATAATATAATATATAACATATATTTTTTATAATTTTAAATATAATTATATAAAATTTATATATTAAAATCAATAAATATTATAATATAGTAGGATTGGATGGAGTCAAATCCGAGTATTAATCAGGTGCAGATTGCAAATCCGAATCCGATCTGTTTACATAAATACATCACCCAAATCTGAGATAATTGGATCGGATGTCGGATCGAGCCGTGGATTTTTGGGTATCATTGACAGGCCTACTTGTTTTTGCTAAAAGTTTCCAGCTAGGAAATTATATGGCTGGAAATACATATTATCACTCAATGCCCTATTGATTTCTTTTTTAGTGTCAAATATCTTTCAAAAGAAATCCAATTTTGAGATGACTAAAGTCGTTCAAGAAATCTTTGGTTGGGGTTCATCCATATCGGGGGGGGGGGTCACTTGGTCAGCATGTATCCATCTATACAGTGGAGAGCCATGCAAGTGCACCACGACTCCCATTATTTGGACTTTGATGTGGTTGTCTTTTAGACTGATGCACCTTTTCGTGGGGGGTTTTGGATGAACTATTATCATATTTTTATCCAATTAAGAAGACTTCAAGTTATTGCTGGACACCTCCACCTCATGGGTTTACCAAACTGAACTTTGATGGCAGCAGCATGGGCAATCCAGGGCCCGTCCGGAATAGGGGGAGTGATAAGAGACGCAAAACGGAATTTGTTAGCTATGTATTCTGGTCAAATTGGGGTGGGTGATTCCCTGAGGGCTGAGATTCTAGGAGCTCTTGAAGGGATACAAAGGGTCAAGGAAATGCATATTACAAAATTGATCATAGAAGGTGATTCTGAAATTGTGGTGAATTGGCTAAAAGAGGACAGCTCTATGCTCTGGAAAAATACAGCAATGAAAAGAGGAAGTTCAAGTGGCTCACTAAGGGCATGGAAATTCAGTGTACATGGATAAAGAGAAGTGCAAATGCATTGGCAGATGGTCTAGCTAGGCAGGGGGTGAATAGAAACTCTATCTTTTGGGCTGTTTTGTAATTGTTTCATGGTTTGGGTGTACATTGGATAGTAGGGAGTTAAGATTCTTTAGCTCCTTCCCTTGTAATTCTAAATTTCTCAGTTATTAATAAAATTCACTGTTATTGATAAAAATAACTATTATCATATTTTTAACACTCCAGGCCTCAACTGATGTAATATTATTTATTTAGTCAGACAGCAATATGTTGCTAATCTGTGCTCCATGTCTAGGTGATGGATCTGGTTGCAGAAAGATGGAAACAGAAGACATTGTTGAAGGATTCTTAGGTCCCAGCAGCAGCAAAAGGTGTAAAATTGATGCAGCATCTGATCCCTCTATCAAGATTGACAACCGAGCACAAGTTGAAGGTTATGGTAATGATGAAGGCCAGATGGCAAACACAGAATCCCCTCAAAATATCTTTTGCTCGGAGGGTGGCATTGCTGCAAATACAGATTCATGTCCAAATCCAAAATTAACAGATGGCCAATCTGGACCAAGGAAGCAAGTAGCTTTTGTCTCGGTGAGAAAACCCACACAATCAGAAACAAAGGAAAAGGGCTCCTCTGTGAAAGCAATCACCACTGCTTGGCCTTCATTTAATGATGATGAGGATCCATTCTTCAGTCTGCTTACTGGTGATAACAAGAAGGATAGCTTGTTCTGATCTTCATCTTCTGGCCATTTTTGCACTCCTTGACAAGGAACTATTGAGCCTAGGAGCCTAGTGGTGTCTATGGCCTCGTGGTTGCAACACTACACTGCTCTGGTGAGCAAAGAGATGGATACATATAATCAACTTGGCATTGGCAGTCTTGCTCTTTTACAGAAAAATGAAGCTTTCAACAAAAAAAAATGTATTTGTTTGCTTGTTTTTTCTGCTTTTTATCTGAAAAGAGTGTATAGCAAAATGGGGGTCTTCACCGTTTTCAATTGGTGCCATGTAGTTGGGATAAGATTTTGTTTGTAATTAAAGTGAATGACACTGGAGAACGAGTTCTCGGCCTTTTCTAATTTTAAAAATTGATCCACAGATATGAAGGAGTTTTAAGTTTCGTCTCTTCTCAGACTTGGAAGTTGGATGTCTTGGTTTCTACCGTAGGTAAATTGTTACTTGTTAGGCGGGAGTTTGCTTAGGCTCCTTTTAACGGTGAAAAAAAGATCCACGTCATCCATATTACCAATTTGAAAGTTAAAGAATCTGTTCCACATGGCAACGAGAACGAGGTCCTCTGGGGGAGACCCGTTTTAACGGCAACACTTCGTAAAGGGACATGTGGCATAATCGTAACGATGAAAAAAATGAGTCGACAGTAATTGTACTTGTGTTGTCATTCAAGGAGAGATATTCCTATTGCACTATTGCGATGGAAATCAAATCAGTCCCCCACAACGTCCCACAGCACATCCCCACCGTGTATTGAGAATATTTCTAATTGATGATACCAGAGATGAAGATGTTGTCATTGGGAGATGTTCACATATGTGTTGTAGGACATTGTGGGGGCAATTTGGTGGGGGCTGATTTGAATTCGTTGCGATGGGCCTGTGAGGAGCAAATCCGGTTTTTAATTTCCCTCAAGCGTGGATCCTTGTGTTAGGATGACGTGACACAACATGATTGTTTCATTATCATCTGATTCCCTTATTAGAAGACCGGATCTGCTCCTCACACGCATATCCTACTATGCATTGGGAACATCTCCCGTAGTTATCAATTATTATTCATGGGAGATGTTCTCAATGCACGGTGGATGTGCATGTGAGGTGTCCATTTGTGAGGAGCAGATCCCATTTCAATTCGGACACCCTTTTACTTCCTAGTTCAGTAGTTCCTACCTAGTTCTTGTTCCTGGACCCGATCCAATTTCCGAACTGATCCTATACGGGGCCAGGTCAGCCGCCCCACTGTCTTAGATGAGACCGGATCTGCTCCTCACAAATGGGAATATCTCCCGTGAATATTCATTAATAAGTACGGGAGATGCTCCTAATGCATGGCAGGATGTGCATGTGAGGCCCCTGGTGTGAGGAGCAGATCCGGTCTCTCAAGCATTGCGAACATCTTCCATACTTTTCTTATTATTCACCGAAGATGTTCTCAATGCACGGTGGATGTGCATGTGAGGCGCCCAAGTGTGAGGAGCAGATCCCGTCTCGTCTTAGATATGGTCTATGGGGCAGGCATGAAGCCAAAGTCAAAGCAAATATCAATATATTCGACTGCAGAAGGCAGTCGGAAGGAAATCAGGGACGGGGGGGAGGGCTTTCATGGTGGTCGAACACATAGAGAGTAAACCTGGAGTGAAGTGAGGCTAAGCTAAGCTGGTGTTATCATATTGAGAGTAACGACGAGGGTACTCGATATAGAATCGGAGACTTTTAGGGGCTTTAAGAAGTTGGAACACAATGCTTCTCCAAACGTCCCCGCTTCTTCAACCTTCTCTTCCTCTTCCTCCTTTCTATGGGAACGGTCGAGCTAGGTTCTGTACATGATGCAAATGCTTTCTTTATCTGCATCTTCAGCTTAATTTTCAATACTTTTGGAAAGTTCATTTGTCTGTGCTTCCTCATGAAACTGGAATATCTGAGGAAGCAATGATGAAATTGTCGTCTGTCCTTCATCTGCTTCTACTTCTTTGTTTTGTTATTCTGAACTAGACCTCATAGATCATGAAGAAAACCTAGCGAAATTGAATGCCCTTTATCGTGTTTGCATTTGGATTTTCCTAGAAGGGCATTACAATAGGGATTTCTTCTTGTTTAAGTAGTTGGTTATGAATATAGTTAGGATGATAGGATAGTTTGTCTATCCCTAAGTTCCCTGTAATGTAATTCATATTTATTTTGTTTCTCGGTCTTGGCACTAATCATCCTTCATTCTGCTGGGTGGGCATGGCTGTTTTTACAATATTCCTGTAAAATTCTCCCCTTTTTATTTTTATTAATTCACCAGTGTACAGCACTCCTGGAGCATATACCTACTTAATCCACCGCCCTCTACTTTTATGAACATATGTCACACTCCTTTTGGGTTGTCAAACAAATGTAATGAAAATGATTCTGAGTTGTCTCTTGGCTATCAAATTTAACTAATTCTCGGTATCTACTCATGTTTTTACTATGATACATTCTACATATTCTGTTTTAGGTTGGACTATGGACTATGTTGAAAACTTTAGATTACAATAAGTTCCTCCATATTCTAGCTCTGTTCTTAGCCCTTCTTTAGTATCCTTACTGGATCATCTGCAAGCAACATGCACCAGATGTCTCCTTATGTGTATGCGTTGTTTATCTCATTCACAACCAACTCAAAGTAAAAGGAAGAAGGCCTTAATATTCACTGTCATTGGGCTATTGAGACTTAACTTTCCTCTCCAATTGATCTCATGCTGGTTATTGCTCCCTTATAAACTAAATACAATTAATGTGGAATTACTGCCAAAAAAAAATTAGTATGGAATAGATATGATTTTGGAAGCCCCAAATTTATTGAACATGATCATTGAACTTTTCCTTGTTTCTGGAGGGATTTAGGGAATTATAAACCTTGTACGTGATCATGTATAAAAATTTGTCTTTAACCTGGAAGGAATTTTTTTTATGCATTGGGTTTTATCTAGGCACCTCATACTCTTCTTAATTCTTTTCTTCTTATTTCTTTTTCGTTAATAAGAATTTTCTCTTATAAAATAAAATTAATCAAAAAGGGAGAAATACAGTTTTTAGCTCAAAGAGTAGCAAATGATAAAAAAGCCTCCATAAGGGAGGAGAAGGCATATCTCAGCAACAGCAGGGTAGAACAAGGGCCAGTGGTCATGGCAAAAACAAAAGGCCAGTGCAGAATGGTGGGAGGTCTAGAGAGAGAAGAGTGGGATAGTAAGTTTGTGATACAAGCCAAGGAAAAGGTTAATGATT